AAATACTTCACATTCATCCAGTTTGTGAAAGTAGTTGTAGCATTTGAGACTTTTAAACTTTAATTACCGCTGTTGCGCGCCCCCCCCTGTGTGTTTATGTGTGTGTGCGTGTGTGTGGGGAGGGGGGGCGCGCGCGCAACTTCCAACAGGAGTCATTTGGGGGGGCTCTTTGGAAAAAAGGGAGGCGGCATCCTGCCATTCTTTTTTCATGTCCATGCAACACCCTGTTTTAGCACTGAGTCACAAGACACACCTCTCCCTCATGACTCACTGCCAGTCAGTGGAGACACGCTTATTTTGTATGCAGCCAGTGTGTGTGTGTGTGTGTGTGTGCGCGTGCGCACGTGTGTGTGTGCCCCACCCTGCCCTGGAGCCTGGGTGTATTCTCTTGTAATCCAGCTCTCTAGACCTGTCCTTTCTCTTTTTTATTCACTTTGTTTGTTTCCCCACTGACTGATTATCCTCCGGTTGATACCAACTGCCTGTGTGTTTCTTATGTTCATGTTTCTTTTACATGACTATATTTAAACATTTCATACAGAGTGTTCTGGGAACTTTTTCCCAGTGTGTGTGTTGGTTCTGTCATCAAAAGTCCAAAGACTGCCACCTTGTGGAAGACTGAGGTGATGCAGGTTACTGTTAGAATGACTCTGAATTAAGATCACATTCAGGGCAGGAACGTCAATAATTATGTAGTGAATACATGACTTGACATGTTTGTTCTGAGCATGAAGGGCCAATCAGGCACAAGGATGTCCAATCATCTGTATTGTTCTTATTACAATTTTAGATTAGAAACACTTTAAAGATTCCAAATTGATTTTAGAAATATTTATCTATTGAGTACACAATATGGACATATACAGAATAAGTGGGAAAACACTATAATAGATAAACCTACTACTAAGGAGCTATAAACATAGGATATTTTTACATCTTTAATTGTGCAAAGTAATAATAATTTTACAATTATTTTCAGTAATTTGTTAAAAAAAAAGAAAATGCTTGTTATTTTTTAAGCTCAATTAATTCTATTTGCAAAATGTATCGCAGAAGAAATGACCATTATTTTACACACTATCTTTATATATATTTGAATAGACTATAGGAAATTAGCTTGAATTGACACAAATAGAAAAGTCAACTTTAGTTAGGAGACATACGAGAAATAACAGTGTGTGTGTGTGTGTGTGTGTGTGTGTGTGTGTGTGTGTGTGTGTGTGTGTGTGTGTGTGTGTGTGTGTGTGTGTGTGTGTGTGTGTGTGTGAGCAGCAGGGTCTGGAAAGATTGCAGGGATTGCCAGCGCCATAGGAGTGGCTCTGTTGGGAGCAGCGTCCAGTTACTTCGCCTACCAGAAGAAGAAGCTCTGCTTCAAGATACAAGGAGGTGACTACGTTACTCCTGACTCTTCTGATCATATAGAGACAACATAAATATATCTCAACATGTCTCACTGATCACATGTTGTGTGTTTAGGTGTAGATCCAGAGAGCGGTAAACACCATTCCGGTAATCAGTCTGATCCTCAAGGTAGGTGGAAAGATACTTATCATTATTAGCAGATAAGCATACTCAGGGTATCATAAGTAAAAGTACAAGTGTAGTGTCCTACAGCAGGAAGTGCACTAACTCTTTCTTCCTTTAAATGTTTCAGTTTTCAGCAATCTGCTCAGGACGTCCTAAACACAGCGTCTGATTTCTACTCAAGAAAAGCCAGTGGCCTTCTCTACAAAACGTACCTTCAATCAACGGTCTCTCTTAAGCCTTATTAAACAACCTAAGGGAGCAGTGTGTAGGATTTAGGGTGCAGAAATACAATCTACTATTCCCAAACAAGTTTTATAATCACTAAGAATGTTTTCATGAGCTTTCAATGTGCCCTTCATATAGGGAGTCTACATATCGCCCCGCAATGATTCAACAGCGTTCATCAAACTTTTTTGGTCCTTGAAGGCCACCGTAGTTTGCATGTCACTAAATCCCACACACTGCTCCTTCAAATCTAACTTGAAAATAAATATGGCACTTATGTTTCATCACTCTTCCATTCACTGCTGTCATCACTAAGATGATAATAGTTTGTGTGTTACTACTGAACACATGGAATCATTGTCCTGTTTTAACAAATAAGTGTTTCTTTTTGCACTCCAACATTTCTTTGTTTTTTGTGAAGCAACCCTTTAATGTACACCTCAGTCTGCCTAAATACGGGGGATTTTCCAATTAAATAAGGTATTAAAATAATGCTGCCCTTACATTTGAATTCACTTACTTGGTGTTATATTTAAAATTGAGTCCCTCCCTCCCGAGTTTTTAGTTTGGTCTCTTTCCGTTTCAAAGTCTTCCGTAAAAAAAGATTTGGCTTTTTCAAAATAAGAGTAACTAAGAACATTAGGACTTTAGTTCTTTGAGTAAGGCTTTTATTGTGAAATGTTTATGACAGAAAGCTTTGGTTTCTTATTGATGGTAGCTTAACAACATTTTCTTTAGAATGAATGAGACATTATTTCATTTTGTACAGATATGAATCTACAGCATGGTACAGCAATGTTTTACCTTGTATGACATTATCATCATGTAACTGGATGCAAATCCAGCGGAAGGAGCTTTTAATATGAAATACTGATTGTTTCATTTTAAGATCTAATAAATGTAGACAGTGATGTGGTAAATGCTGAAAATCTTTTGCATCCCATATGTAAATGTAACATACAGTAGAAGCTTTTTGTTTGTTGTTGTGTTTGATATTCCTTGAAGTTTGACCCTCTTTGTCTTATATTGACAAAGAATCTCATGTGTAATAAGAAAGGTGCTACAGAGAATTAGCATCATTAGCTCATGGTTTGCCATTACAGCCCATGCTAGCATCGTTAGCAGCTAGCTACATCATTAACATAACCACTATATAAGGTTTCATGCTCCCAGCTTCACAACAAACCATGAACAAGACTAAACTTTCCTATTTGATTTCAGAAATAATGTTTTAGGAGTCAGTCGTAGACAGACGACTTTTTGCAGGCTGTCTATCTTATCAGTTTGACTTCAGCAGCGCTCTGAGGCCATGCTGATGCACTTTTTGTCGCAGTTATGATAATCAGAATCAGGTTTTATCCTCAGACTCGACCATGAGTCATGCCTTTATTGCAAAGTATCATAAATCAGAATGATTGCCTGAGGGGATTGTTGTTATGACGCTGAAATATGAGAGTGTGAGCTGTAAATACTGGAGGATGTGGATAAATGCTGCTTTCAGCTTTTACACCATGATCTGCTTTGAAGTGTTTTTGGGAGGTTTTTGTCATGTCATTTACAAGCTTAGATCTATTCCAGGTCTGATGTGTGTGTGAGTTTTTCAATAAAGCGGTGTTGTACAGTTCGTCTGCTTTATCATTATTACTATAAAATGAGTTAAAATGACCGTGAGACAGAATAATCACAACTCAAGATCGATTTACTGACTACTGATTTAAAAAACAGTTTATATACCAATTTAAAGTAATCAGGTTACACTTCTTTTACATTGTGACACTTAATACGGGTAATAAGTATTTTCACAGAATATGTTTTTGTGCTTTGTGTTCCCTCACTGTTTCCTGTAATGTGTAAAGCAGGGTGAACCCAGAGCATAGGGCAGCTGCTGAAGGTCCACACAGTTGCACAACACCTGGCAAGACTCACTAGTTGAATGACCACATGAACACACACACACACACACACACACACACACACACACACACACACACACACACACACACACACACACACACACACACACACACACACACACACACACACAATACAGAATGGGATGTCACTTCCTGCTGCGGTGTCACATTCATCCTGTAAGTATTTAAGGTTCCACAGCAGCTCCAGAGATGTGCACCTGGGACCCCCGCAGACTGTTCCTCACACCCCCAATGAGAGGCCTGCTGCAGTGAAGTGAAACTAACTCGTATTTTCTGGATAAAGAGAGCGGATTTAACGCACGGAAAATGTCAGGTAGGTGATCGTTTGTGACCTAAGTGATGTGTAAAATGACATTGTACTGCTTATTTGTTGAGTTTTCTTGAGGGTGTAGTGTCCTAGTTTACCCTTTCTGCACATTTAAAGAGATTTTGATCTGTGGTGCACACTTGTTGTTCTGTTGTTGAATTATACGGAGTGCACTCTAGTGACCCAGTTTGATTTGAATCAGAATAGACTCTCCTGTAACTCTACACGCAGCCCAGAGATGTCTTCAGACAAAAGCTCACGAGCTTCTGCCTCTGACCACTGGCCAGGAAAATGGCTCAGTTACAACTACACTTACCCCACATGCTCCCACCCTCATGTTCAACCATAATGGAAAACAAGGCACCAAAATAACCATTAGTGTCATTTTGTGTCAAAATTGCTTTTTTAGGGTCATTCTTAGGAGCAAAATATAATAATTCTTAACTGTAAGGATACTAAAACTACTAAATAAAGACGTATGCAGACACACAATCATAAATATATATATTTTGTTATTCTCAAAGTGTAGTTTTGGAAAATTATTTAACCTTTAAAGTCGATTGCTCTTTTGGAAAGTGGTAAAGACGTCTCTTAGCAACCTATTTACAGCCATTAGGTTTTAAGTGTATATTTAAATTGTTTAAACCTTGTCGTGACCATTTTGTAGGTAGGGAGGCCTTCGTCACCCTGGCAACCACAAACTCCTACTGCATGGGAGCTACAGTGGTGGCCAGAAGTTTGCGGCGCCACGGGACGACTCGCAGCATCGTTGTCATGGTAACACCCAATGTCTCAGAGCAGTCAAGGTGAATGATTTCATTTCTCCGGCATATAAGCTGAATATATAGCATTTGTATAATTCTCACTTACCGTGACATGTATGTCGTCACCAGGCTGGCCCTGCAGAGTGTCTTCGACGAGGTGATCACCGTGGACGTGATGGACAGTGAGGACCGTCTCAACCTGTCCCTGCTGGGACGTCCTGAGCTGGGCATCACCTTCACCAAGATCCACTGCTGGACTCTGACCCAGTACAGCAAGTGTGTGTTCCTGGATGCCGACACACTGGTGAGTCCTGCACACACAGAAACACAACATATGTGTAATATTTGACTGTGAAATACATCATTATGTCCAATAAGTGCACTCTTTGTGTTTGATGCTGACCTGAATCTATCCTCACTAAGGGAGCTGCAACAGGAAATGCTTGCAGCTCCTTCACATTAAAAGAATTCCATTGGCAAAAGAGCTGGGTAACTTTTATTATGAAGGAGCTTGGGGAAAATGGAAAAGCGATCTTGGTCAATGATCATAGGGAAAAACAAGGCAGATGTTGTACACATGGCAGTATAGCATAAGGACATGCAGGCTCATTGGCCGTATTGCACTATCACTATCTGGAGCTATTTATCCCTATACACCAGTAAACACCCTGTCAGTCTCTTTGAGGGTCACTCATCATGTTCCTATAGGAATCAATAGCAGCACGCATGTGAGTGGCCCTTTAGGAGCATGTCCCCCTGCCTCTGTGTGCTCAGTGTCAACATGTTCTCATGTAAAACGCAGAGGAACAGGCAAGGTTTCTCAAGGTTGTGTGTCACAATATATCATGGCATGTCCCACACTGACCTGATAGGCGGGGTCCCCTCTCAGGTCCTGTGTAACGTGGACGAGCTGTTCCACAGAGACGAGCTGTCGGCGGCTCCGGACCCCGGCTGGCCCGACTGCTTCAACTCCGGGGTGTTTGTGTTCAGACCGTCCCTGCACACACACCACCGCCTCCTGGAGCACGCCCGGCAGCACGGCAGCTTCGATGGTAACCCATGACAACTCTTCTTTCTCATTATTATCATCACCTACAATAAAGAATAACACAGTGAGACTCAAAGTTCCACATTCAACTTTATATCACTCCATCTACAATGACTACTTTTTTAATACTGGGTGACATGTGTTGGCTTCAGGAGGGGACCAGGGCCTTTTGAATTCTTTCTTCAGCGGCTGGCCGGTGGAAGACATCAGCAAACACCTGCCGTTCATCTACAACCTCAGCGCCAGCTCCCTGTACAGCTACCTGCCCGCTTACCAACAGTGAGCCTGCGCACACACACACACACACACACACACACACACACACACACACACACACACACACACACACACACACACACACACACACACACACACACACACACACACACACACTTCACTTATTACAGGTTTTATCCATCACAAGTTTCAAAGGCCTCATTTTTGTAGTGTAGCCCATCATTTATATCCGTTAAAATAACACCGTAATCACTAAAGTAACTGCTCCTTTCTATGGTATGTCGATACACACCACCAATTATATTACTCTGCTGCAGTGTGCACAAACATCCTGAGAGTTTGCTCCTGCAGGTTTGGCCACGATGCAAAGATTGTGCACTTCCTGGGATCAGTGAAGCCCTGGAGCAGCAGCAGCCAGAGGGAGGGCGGCCACTCAAACATGGAGCAGTTTTTGTCTCTGTGGTGGAGGGAATACGGCAGCAACACGGAATCATCTGCAGCAGAGACGCCACAGCAGGTACTTGAGTGAATCTACTCTCCACCACTTGTGTCACTCCTGGTTGTTGTGCAGGAAGTCAGCCATGGTCCATGTTTGGCAGAGGCTCTGCAGATTTCCCCTCCAAACACTGGAGCAGAACATCCCTCTGATGAGTCCCCCCTCTTCAGCTACTGAGTTTGGCAGGAGCGTAGACATGGCCGAGCGGCCAGACGCCACACATGGCTGCCTGGCTTGGGACTGGTTGTTTTCCAAACACTAAAACACCCTCCCTTGTTTTGCAGACCCAAAAGAAGGAAGCTAAGATGCCAGTTGTGCTGAAGATGAAAAAGAGAAAGGCCAAGTTGCCAGTGAAAGGAAAACTGGTCAACTCTGGTCCACTGCCAGCACATCTTTCCCCGCTTCAAAAGGGGCTCCATGCACCGCCTGACCCAGAGAGAGTAAGCAAATTCACCTGTTATGGGTCACTAATGGATATTTTGTTCATTTTTTCCAACATAAGTAGCTCTTTTTAAGGGAAAAAGGTGTGATAAAGTCAGTGTATTTTTGAGGCCAAACACGTTTATGTGGTATCTGCAGCCAGACACCACATATGTCTGCCCTGGCCCAGGGACTGGTTCCATCACTAAACGTCCTCCCTTGTTTTGCAGGTCCAAAAGCGAAAAGCCAAAGTGCCAGGGAAAGAAACCTCAAACATTTCGAATTCAAAATTGCCCACAAATCTTCTCCCTCTTCAAAACGAGCTCCGTTTACCATCCAACCCAGAGACAGTAAGCTGCTGCACCTCTTCACTTTTGTGTTACTGCTTATATACTGTTATATTAACATCTTATTAACGTCTGATTCCTTGTTTTAAATATTCTTCTGTGTAGATTTAGAAATTGGAGATCCAAGATAAATGCCTTATTTCTTGATCTGACAATTAGATTTGTATCATATCCTACACTTTCAAAGTTATGAATTTGCTCTAAATCATCAGAAGAAAAACAAAGTACAAATAAAAATATTTTGTGAAGCCGAGCAAGTGGTCATTAGACATATTTGCAGTCAAGCCATGAATTAGCTTAATGAATGACCTCATTAGCATAGCTGTGCATGGTTTTTTTCCAAACATCTTGGTGATTGTTAGGGAGGTATTTAGGCAGCTCAAGCTTCTCTTGTCACAGAGTTTGGCCGGAAACTGGACATGCAGCCAGACGCCACATATGGCTGCCCGGCCCAGGGACTGGTTCCATCACTAAACGTAGTCCCTTGTTCTGCAGGTCCAAAAGAGAAAAGCCAAGGTGCCAGGGAAAGAAAACTCTAACATTTCAGATTCACTGCCCGCAAATCTTCCCCCGCTTCAAAACGAGCTCCGTTTACCATCCGACCCAGAGACAGTAAGCCCAGAGACAGTAAGTGTCACTGCTTATATAATGTCTGATTCCTTGTCTTAAATATTCATCAGTGTAAGATGTTGCAAATGGGGATACACGAAAAATGCCTTATAACTTGATCTGATCATTCGATTTGTATAATATCATACACAGCTTTTTGCTCTCCCTTTCTAAGTGATTAATTTGCTCCACATCCTCCCTTGTTTTGCAGATCCAAAAGAGAGAAGCCAAGGCGCCAGTGAAAGAAATCTTGGACATTTCCGATTCCCTACCAACGCCTCTTCCCCCGCTTCTTAACGTGTTCGATTTACCGTCTGACACAGAGACAGTAAGCTGATGCGTCTGTTCACCTTTGTCTAACGTCGCTGCTGGATATAACACAAGGTGTTGCTCATAGGGACAAAGTCAGAATAAGTATCAGAACTTCAAGACATACAAGAATCAGACATACGCATACAGGGTTCAAAGGACTTAACAGGATAGCAGGACTTACTGTATATATGATGAGGGGATGAAGGCCAGGTGTGCAGGAGGTCAGGTGGTTGCAGGGATGATGAGGAGCAGTAGGAACTAACTAACTAGGCCAGGACTGCCTTAACAGAGATGGGTCTATAGCAAGTTAGCCTAGCTTAGCTCCATTAAAAGAAAACGGAACTCGGAGTTCTTTTGAAATATTTTGTGCAGCCGAGCAAGTAGTCATTAGACATATTTGCAATCAATCCATGAATTAGCTTAATGAATGACCTCATTAGCATTGCTGCTTGTGTTTTGAATACATCATGGTGATTGTGATGGGGGTATTTAGGCAGCTCAAGGGCCTCGTGTTAGCTCCTGTTCATTTACCATTTCTGCTCGACTGCCTCTGACTGGAGCTGAAAAAGAAACACGGCGTCTGTTATCTGTCACAGCTTCTCACTGCGTTGGTTTCATTCATTTCCACTTGATGCATTGTGCTTAAACAAGCTTGTAAGATAAGCCTGAGCAGACCATGAGCATACATCAACAGTGTTATCACGCAGTGCAGGAGGAGAGCTCATTCGGCTGCCATTATTGTACTAAAGAATGACTGTGTGTGTACAGGGTTCTGAGGAAGAGTCCCCCCCCAAAAGGACCCAGACCCAGGACCTAGCTTCAGAGGAAGAGGAGCCTGAGGACAGCGATGACCTCTCTGACATTGAGGAACTTCCTGTACGTTTCACTACCTGCTTCAAATACTGCTCAGGGTTAAAGCCGTAATGTGCAGTGGTGAGGGGATCATTCAGATGGATAAGTTAAAGTACCAATATGTAGAAGTACTCCATCAAAAGTACAATATCATATCTAATAGTACTAATTCCGCAGAAAAAAAATCCTCCATATCTGATATTTTATTACAATATTAAGGTGCCAATATTGTGGCATAAAGTAGCATTTTACAGTTGTAGATACACTGTAAAAAGTATGTCACTTGTATCTAAGTAAGTCATGTAAGCTGCTAGATAATGTAGTGGAGTAAAACTATATCATATTCCTCTGTACTGTAGTATAAAGTAGCATTAAATGGTAATACCCATGTAAAGTACAAGTATGTGAAAATAAGTATGATATTTTAGTAAATGTACTTAGCTAAATTCCACCACTGGACTCAGGTTAAAGTGTTTAAAAGAAGAGCATGAAAGAAATCAAGCTAAACATGTGCCTGCTTTTCCCTCCTGTTTCCCCCCTCCCGATGGTGTCAGAGGGCAGAGGAGACAGAGGCCGAGCGGCTGGAGCACCGCCAGCTGTGGGAGGCGGGCCAGGCCGACTACCTGGGGCGAGACGCCTTCAAGAACATCCAGAAGATGCTCGACCGCTTCCTGGACTAACTGCTCACACACAGGAACCACTCCGCAACCAAACACACCTGAGCCAGCGATTAGTCTAGGCCCAGTGCTCATAATACATGACTGATTTATGACTAACTAATAAAGCATTTTTGAAATGTTGTGAAACACCAACATCTCCACATTGTGAGTGTTCCAATGTTCAATAGTGGGGATTATTTGTTTTGTTTTTGTGGAACTAAATCCCAATTTCCTACAGTCATTTGAGTGAGATAAACAGAAAACTGTCACATGCAGACACACAGTGAGTGGATTCTTCCAGCAGGGGGCACTGTGGCTCTTCTTCCAGAACGCTCCACCATGGGGAGCAGGAAGACCTGAAGAGATGCTGTGTGATGCTGTGTGATGCTTACCCATCATGGTGCATGTCCTTTTCATACGCTTTCTCCTATGACAAGGCTCTATAAGGCAACCTGACTCCCATCCATCAAGAGTAAAGTGGGATAAGATGCTGGTTTCTCCTGACCTCCTCATCCATTAAGCTCTGAAAAGGCAAATAGAGTCCCTCCAGATGCTGCTGGGAATACTTAAGTTGACTTCTACAGAAGAAACTACAATATACATGAAAATGGTAATGCTCAAGTTTGTCAAAATAGTATGTACCTTGAGTAAATGTACCCAGTAGTTTGCTCTCAGGTTGAGTGTGAGACGTGTCACTGTAATGATCAGCTGGAGTCCACTCCTGTGTGTGTGATTAGCATAAATATGACCTGTCAGCCTCCTGCTGCTAATTACAAGCAGGGGAGGACAAAGTGTGTCCTCACATGCAGCACACTGATACTGATGAACCATAGCTTCTATATAATCACAGTAATACTATTGAAACCAGTACAGAAGTCAAGCTGCAGTTTGTTTATGGATCAACAATAAACAAGTTGTTTTAATGTGGGGGCATTTCCTCATGATTAACCCCAATTGCAGCATTTTGAACTCCTTGTACAAACAAAGCTTTAATACTAACAAACATGTATCTGTTCTACAACGTAGAGGCCTGAAGGGCCCTTTTGACCTATAGTCCTCTCAGACCCTTTCTAACAAACCCTCTTTGACTCTCCCTCAGCACTTTGTCCCCAAGGGAGAATCAACCATTACTTTGAAAACTCAACTAAATCGACAATTCAATGGATCATTCTAAATGATTAGCCGTGCTCGAGGGTAGGTTTGATTGCCACTCCTCTGCTCTGCAGCTCTTATGATGTACGGCGCTTGGAATCACTGAAGGCTGAGGAGAAGTAACCGAGGGCATGTTTAATGATTATTGAATGCACCATGATTCGCAACAAGCTGAGGGAAATGATATTGTACAGCCTGAAGCCATGCTTGGGGCTCACCCATGCTAATGATGTTCAGGTCTAATGATAAACATGTCTTTTTTGTGCATTAGCATGCTCTGTTTGTTGCCATATTATACATATAAACTTTATGAAGTAAGAATGTGTTGATATTTTGTTAGGAGCTTGACATGCTGCCAGGAAGACCACCAATAAAAGTGGTTTTAACTTCCTGATGTTCTGCAGGTTTAATGATGAGTCCAGCAGTTAGCATAGTAACATTTGGTAAACGAATAGCAAAGGCTCTACAGTTCTAGAATTATTAATGAAAATTCTAGAATGTTCAATTACAATTCTTGAATGTAAGGGTTATCAACCTGTTGAGGTGATGTTGGAGCTAGATGAAGTTGGGCTATCATTACAAGGATAACATTAATGTGAACCAAAGTTAGCAGGCTGCTTCCTCCAGGATATTTCAAACTTTACCACAGTATCTGGGATATTTAAGTCACCAACACAAGAGGACATTGTAACCCACAGAGCTCCACCACTAGTGGCCAATAAAAATGGCCAGTTATTCATTTCCCCACCTCTTGCCAGTAAAGTTGACATGCTTAAATGGTTTCTAGGAGACTCCTCACTGAAGTTGAACTCATCAATCAACAGTAATGTCAGCCTCCAGAGAAAATCTGCTGTTAGTTTGAATTTAATCTTCAAATACATAACTCAGACAGCCTTCAGCCGCACTTACGTAATCGGCACTGACACGACACTGACCTCGCAAATAATTCCCCTTTAAACTGACCCAGTCTGTTTGTACTGACACCCATATGTGCTTCCAAGAAATGCCACCTTAGTGGGGCACATCAAGGCAAATCTCAGGGAGGATGAAACCAAGCTTAGTCAAATAACCAGAACACTATTTGCCGAAGCTTCCCCCCTTCTCTTGTTTAGTCTTTATTTTCCATTCGCTCTGAGCATGTGTACATGAACAAATAGTCTTGATAAAGCCCCCATCTGGAACTCCTCTGTGGCTTGATGAGAACACTCGGGATGGCGGCGTGTGTGTGTGTGTGTGTGCGCGCGAGGGAATGACTGTGTGTGCAGGTGTAGGCTCCAGCCATCAGACACACAGCGTGGACCAGAAAGAAACGTGAGCTGTCAGAGGACTCTAAGCAGCTCCATATGTTTTTGGGTCTCAGGACCGCCCCCTCCGCTCATCATGTGTGGGAGCCATCGCATGACTAAGTTGATTCATGCTCAGATAATTTGATCAGTGGTTCAACCGCCGGCTTCACATTCTAATGAACCCCAATCTGCGATCAGGCTAATTGGGAAGTAATGACAGTCAGCTGTGGAGGAGATCTGTTCCGATTCGAGGTGGGGCTCAGCAGCTGGTTGGAGATCGGTGGACGGATGCTGATAGGAGCTGGGCCACAAACCAAACCAGTTTCCCAAGAACTCTATTTAATGGGCAGATGCATCTTCTGGAACATTCAACGTGTTACCTTTTCACATGCCAAGACCCATTTTTCAGAGAGCTTGTAAAAAGATTTTTACAGTTGGTGTTTCTGCTTCTGAGGTCCAATTACATACCAATTGTGTGAATCCTTTCTGACCCAGGAAGAATATAAAAACAACCGTCAGCCGCATGTTGGCCTGCAGACATGTTCACATCTGCCCGTGGACTTAGACACTTAATTCCTCGAGGGAGAAGTGAACCAAAGGTCCAAAGATAACAGCAGCTGGACCCGGAGACAATCTTTGGGGAAGTTTCTGTTCCAAGTAGCCTAGCCGATAACTTCGCAAATCTATCATTCTTTCAAATGTTTTTTTTTTATACAGCTCAGAGGCATAAAGTAAGCTAGTTCTAAAAGATGAAAATATGAATATGTGGAATTAAAGTAATCCTCGGGTAACATATTACAAATATATAACAGAGGTGTATCTGATTGAAGGGTCCTGAACAAATCAAAGCTTTGACAATTCTCTACTTAGTGAAGCCTTATCTTTGGAAATGTATCTGAGTCTTGTCTAAATCACATATTTTTCTGTTTCTTAGTGCGGTGAACAATCCATTCATTTTCATCCAATTTTCCTCTGCAGAACTAATGTGATAATAATAATATATGGCAAGCTTCTCAATGCATTAGTGAAACTTTTTCTCAAGTACAAATACAAAAGTCTCTGCGTTTTTAAATCTTGTCTTTGGTGGATAACACACCAGAGCTCGTAAAAGAATAAATATTTTACCTTGTTTGATTTCAAATGAATGTAAATATGCTGATGTGGAACTATTCCAACTTCTTGGATAATAGCTATCGTAAAAGTCAGAACTCTGAATGAATTAGTAGAAAACAGGCAAATTTACTGAGCCCACAATACCAACGAGCCACACATGTGACAGCTTTTTCCACTTATGCATCTTATTTACTGAGACTGATGATCATACGATTTGTTATGCCCGCACTCGTGTCAAAAACAAGCCATATATCACACTCAGAGTTAGCTTGATGCACATGTTGTCAACATCACAGCAGAGGAGGTTTTAGCTCAAGACGCTTTCATCACCAACACGTCTACAGCGTGTTCCCGTGCACTGCAGAAAGAAGCCACTGCTTTTCAACTCTGCTTTAAATTCAGCTCCTCTGTTGCTCAGACACGAGGCGCCTTGATGTTCCCGTGTATTGATGGTGTTGCTGTAGGACCCAGCTCCCTCGTGCCGGCTTTGATTCGTCAACCAGACGCAGAGCCATGTGAATATCTGCAGCCATTCATAAATCACAGTCCTTCCCTCACTGATGTTTCCCTTCTTTTTGTTGCATTTGAGCAGAAATTATGCCTCCATTAGAACTAATCAGTGGCATATTACACAGCATATTTAGACACCGTGGTATTTCTACTTTAACAAAGTAAAGGATCTAAGTAATTAAAGTCAATCTGATACAGTATACAGTGGTGGAAAGTACATTTAAGTATGGTACGTAAGGTAATTTGAAGCAAATACTGTCATTTTAACTCCACCACATTTATTTACAAACACTAGTTTCTAGTTACTTTAGGTCCATATTTCTTGATAATACTATATTCTGAGTTATGATGCATAGATTAATATACTGAGCAGTATAACACATCATTGAAGTTATCTCCACTTTTACTAGCTGCAAAATGTAAATGATGTCAGTTCAATGATTATAATCCAATAATATAATATGTGTTAAGCTCTCAGAGAGTGACCAAAAGGAATCCGAAACTAGGTACGATACAGAAGCAGGGTTCAATGTGGGCATTGTTGCTCACCAGGGCAAGGTAAGACGGTCAAGGGTCCAGACGGAGATGAGGAGCGGGCCCTATTCAGGTGTAGGTGGCAATCAGGAAGAATGAGCAGAAGATGAAGGGGAACCCAGGTCAGCCACGCCCAGCCAGGGAGACACAGGCAAACACAGAGAAAACAGGAGGGAACACTTTGGATTCTAACAATATGTATTATGCCGAATATTTGCCAGTGAGCATTCAAATATATTTGAAATACAAAAACTAGTACCTTTACTTTAATGAATGCAGGTTTTTTTACTTTCAACCATCAACACAGTCGGGTATTACTACGTTTACTTCAGTATTACATGTGAGTTCTTCCACCCCTAGCCTGAATCCCTTGAATACTAAGTCCCTAAGTCAGAGTGGATAAATACAGGAAAGTAACGGTGCTTTTAAACAGCGTACACATCCGGACGCGTGGCATGACTTTACACTGATGACTGTCTCTTTCAGTAATTAGAGTAATCTACAGACACACGTAAAAGGAAACAGGTGGGTGCTGCATGTGAGCGTTTCCAAAGTGAATGAAGCAGGCTCTAGGTCACAGACAGACAGCTTCATAACACAAAGAGAGGAGAGCGCTGCGAGCCATCTGGATACGCTGTCAGGCTCCTTCGGCCACAGGGGGAAAACATGCATCACTGCAGACTAATCACTTCTCACAGTGGAAAATGTGGATCTCATCAGCAAGGAGAAAAATAAAGAAAACTCCTTTTATTTTGTTCCTTCCTCAGAATTGATCAGGGCTTTCTTCCTGGTACTTTTGCTTATCTCCGGAACAGAAGTTGTAGGTGAATGCAGAAAGACAGAAAGTGCTAAAATACTAATATTTAAAAGATAATCTAACTGCTCCAACAAGAGTAAATGCAGTTTCTCAGTGTGACTCTTTCTGCTGAACTAATGAGGGATTTCCTCATGGCTCCAGAGGTTTTTTCTTTCTGGAAGACGAGACGCTGGCTGTACTCCCAGAGCGATGATCGCAAGTTTCAAATCCTCAAGAATAATGGTGACCTACTTCCTTCAGCCAGAAAGCTAAATTGAGTATTTTCACAGATTTCCTTCTGTCTTCTGCTTTCTAAGGCCAGCTGTACAAAAAACAACATTCAATGTAAGTGTATACAGTAAAAAATGTCAGTATATTTCCTAAAGTTTGTGACATTTAAAAGCATTATTCTTTGTTATGGTGAGTCTTCATTTTTCCAATATCTTCCTTCCCCTGTATCAGCAATACAAAAGTTTTTGCTTCTGACAACAAGTTTAGTCGATTCAGGTGGAGATGTTTTATTAAAATATGGGAAGGTGGCTTTGCATCACAGTCTGTCAAAGACAAATCAAATATAAATAAGGACATAGAACCTGAATCAGCATTTTTCAGAAGCAGATTCAAAGATGGTGCACACTGCTCCGAGCAGGAAACTTCAATATCACTTATTGAAATATATTTCAGGTATGGAAACAAATAGAAAATTACCGTTTATGCAAGGCACAGGATACCAACTGGAGTAAAAAATAAAAATCTTAACAAATCTTTATAGCATTATTATACATATATGTAATTAAGTTAAACAATATTTCCTAGTTAGAAAATGAAAAGTTATGCAATTCGAGCATGACATAATATGTCATTGTCAAAACCACACTGTTAGCAGTTTATGTAAAAAACAACCTGAAGTAAAAAATTACACTATCCCTATAATAGTTATTATTTTGGTCAATGACCCTATGATTCCCATTTAGTAACCGGTAAACTAGATGTGGGATATTAGTCCTATGTACCATCAACTTCTGGCTTTGACACAGCACACACTCAAAGCACCTCTGCAGGTTTTGAGTAATTCATTATTTCATCTTTGCAACAGCAGTTTACCAACATTTTGATCGTTAAAAACATAGGCTGCTTTTAACAAGGCAGTTGATTGGGCATACAGTATGAGAATGGATTACAATGATTGGTGAAGTTCATCAGAACACATTGAGAACCGTAGCTTTAGAGTCTACGCCAATGGCATTTCTAGCTGTGCATCGATAGACGCCAGCATCTCTCTGTGTGGGGTTCTGGATGATGAGGGAACCTTGGGGATGGAGGTACTTGTTTCCAAAAAGGCGTGGCTGTGCATTGACGGTCAAGCGTGTTTTATCAGGGGTTTCCCATGCAACCTCCACTCTAGGTATCCCAGTTGCTACGCAGTTCAACTGGACAGCAACTCCCTGTTTAGCGTAAGTCACAGAGGGCGGTCCGTTAGTAATTCGAGGAGGGTATGCGATTATGATCACTGATACAGAAAGCTGAGAGCTGCCGTACTCATTCGCAGCTCGGCAAACGTAGGAGCCCCGATCATAGACTGATACTTGTTTGATGGAAAGTGTCCCGTTTGGCAGGACTGCATATCGTCCGGCTCTTTGCGGCCTGTTGAGGACAACTGCACTGGGCAGTGTCCAAGAAAGTCTGAGTGGTTCGCCACTGGTTAAACAATGAAGCAGAAGTTGTTCCCCATTCACAACGCTGACAGGAGAGTTGTATCTGTTAATGATCTCTGGCTTTCTCCCCGGGGACAATGTTATTGTACGCTCCACAAGCCCTCGAGAATTACGCCCCATACAGCGGTACACGCCCGTTTCAGAAACAGATGGGTTACTGATGATTAAAGAACCGTCGGGTTGGTGGAAAAACTTGTTGACTCGAGCACCCATAGATAAAGGTGTGCCGTTCGGTAAGATCCATGTGGTGTGAGATAGTCTTAAGTCCTCAAAGGTGCAATTCAAAGTCATGGCATTGCCAACAGTCAGTGACAGGCCATCTGTTTTGGACCCTCTAGATTGTGGCCTCTCGACGACTTCCTTTACATCCAAGTTGACCACGAGCCTGACCTCCCCTCCTTCATTACGGGCGATACAAACCAGCTGCCCAGAGTCTGTTCTCTTGGCGGACCGGATTTCCAAGGTACCATTTTGGTGAACTGTCATTCTGTTGCTGTAGTATGGAGCAGGAAGGATCACATTACCCGGTAGAACCCACATGACACGAGGGGTTGGGGTCCCCTTTGCCACACAGTCCAACAGCTTCTGCTGATTCGGGACTGCAGTCACCTTGACGTCATTGGCAGTTCCTCTTAAGCCATTAATCGTTGGTGATGTCACTAGAACGTCCAGCCTGACGACTTTATTGTCTTGTCCTGCGTTGTTTCTGGACATGCAGGTGTAGTTACCTCCATCAAAACGCTGGACTCTTTGAACCACTAATGTTCCGTCATCCAGGACCTGATATTTGTCTATTGCAGGGGAGATGACTCTATGTGTAGGGGATATCCATGTGATGACTGGCTTTGGTTCCCCTTTGGTGTGACATCTCAGCGTCACGGTCTCACCGTAGAAAACCTTGACGATGTTTTGGTCTTTGTCTTGGATTTTTGGCGGAGAACTTGCCACCTTTACCTTGACTCTGACTTTCATCTCGTCTTTGCCAAGTTGGTTCTCGGCGTAGCAGGTATAATCGCCTTCTTCTGGCATGCCCACATGGTTGAAGAACAGCGTACCATTGTCAAACACCACATACCTAAATTCCAGAGAGGAAAGGGGGGGGGGGGGGAGGGATTGTTACAATTTGATGAATGTCATTGAAGACTGACAGTCCATTTTTGGGATTGTGATCAATATTATTATTACATGCAATTATTACACAAATCGTACAAAAAGGGCTCCCTTTACGTTGTTTTCCTTTTCCTAAGAATCCATATAAATGAAAGGTGGTCGTGAATTCCTTCGAATACCATAGGGTAGGTTCTGTATTTTCCACCAAAGCCATTTCTTCTGTGTTCAGTTATACGTGTCAGAAAGAAATACGTTGGGTTGCTCAACCGGAAAAGATTGACATGAAGTATTTACAGTGTGTTCCATGCGTCATTGAGGGAAACAATAAATAATGTGGACATACAAAGGAGTTTTTGTATTCTGGCAGCACATGCCAAAATTGGTTCTTGAAGTAATTTTCTGTGGACGTCGGAAGAGTCATCAATCTTAAGGTGTTGAGCTGTCACAGAACCACAGTTAGGAAATAGTTTCCAATAAGTCAAATGAACACATCAAAAGTCTTTTGGGAACAGCACTGGCCAATGGTGATTGGTCAGTTCAAGAATAAATCATTTACTGTTTAGCAACACCTTGAAGAACATCCTCCTGAATCCTTTTTCTTCATGTTTGCATTTAATGTATATTTTTCGTTATTATAGGTTATACTGTAATTCTGGTTATTCCACACACAACATGTCATAGGCGACAGACCCCTCCTTTCTGGCTTTTCCTCAGGTTTCTTTTCATTTTTACCCTGTTGAAGTTTGTCCTCATATAAAGCTAGGGGCAAGGAACAGTAGGTGTTTGCTGTATAAATTGTATAGCACCTTGCGACAAATTTCTGATTTATTATATTTGCCTTTATAAATAAAAAAGACATTTTAGAAAACATTTTAGTTGGACTGTATGAAGAGAAAACTACCATATTTACAAGTAATTCAGAACTTCTTTTACATCCTTCTTCCAATGTCCCAAAACTAAAACAATTTACTCAATAGATTAAACTCCTCCTACCTGCGGGTGCGTCCCCTGCTGACACTATCTCTCTGTTTGACCGGGTTGACCATGGTGCCGTCTGGCAGAGCCCAGCTGATCTCGGGGTTTGGGAGACCCGAGGCCACGCAGTCCACCTTCAGGTCCCCACCGTACACCACCTCCTGGCTGGACCTGTGCTGCTTCTGCTCGATCTTGGCCGGCTTGGTGAGCACGTCGGCCCGCAGCAGAACGTAGTCATCACCCATCTTGCTACGCGCCACACACAGGTAGTCCCCGCTGTCCTTGTCGGTCACAGAGTGGATGGTCAACGTGCCATTTGGGAACACCTTGATCCTGGGGTCAAAACTGCAAACATAATAGAAACAATAGTATCCAGAGGATGTTAAATGTATGCAGTTTTGAAACATTTGATTGATGTTCATTAATAAGCGTGTGCATTTGTTACCTGTACTGAGCATCCACCAGCTTATTAGAAGGGGTCCTCCAGATGATCCGGGGCTTTGGCTCTCCTTTTGCCACACAGTTGAGGAGCAGCCTCCCCCCATAGACCACATCTGTTCTCTGGGGTGATGAGAGGGTGATGCTGGCCTTTACAGAGGACAGATTTCTCTTTATGCTCAGGGTTACTGTTCTTGTGCTGGATGCCACACCGTTACTGGCTGAGCACTCATATCTCCCAGCGTTTCCCGGGCCCAGGCCCCGCATGTACAGGGTTCCATTTGGGAAGACAAGGAGGTTGCGTGCAGTGACAAACTGGGAAGCAGTGAGCTTTATGCCATCAGGTGTGGTCCAGCGAATAACAGGCTGAGGGGCACCTGTGGCCGTGCAGTGGATGTAGGCAGTGCTGCCCTCTGTGAGCGTGGTGTTCTCGTGTTGTTTCTGCTGAATCACAGGTGGCAACGCTGAGACAGAGAGGCGGACTGAGACTGTGTCAGCTCCAGCTGCACTGCTGCCAATGCACTTATAAATCCCTCTATCTGTGAGAGTGGCTTGGCTAATCCTTAAGGTTCCGTTACTGAAGACGGCCACATGCTGCTGAGGGGAAACACTGAATGGGGCAGCAGCCACGTGGACATGGTTAGGAAGTACCCATGTGACTCGAGGCGTAGGGTGCCCCTCTACCTTACACTCCACATTGACGTCCCCACCCAGCCGCACAGTGATGTCTCTGTGCCGGGGCTGCAGGACCCGCGGGGGCCGAGAAAGAACCACCATGTTGAGCAGCATCTCGTCTGTGCCGTGCTGGTTCTGGACTGTGCAGAGGTACTGGCCTCCATCCATGGGTTGTGTGTTCCTGATGGTTAATGTACCATTTGGATGGACCTCAAATCTGTGGACCCTGGTGTTCTTAGCAATACTCGCCCCTGCATGGATGAGAAGAGAGAGATTTAGATTAGATTTTCTCCCACATAGTATAACATTACAAGGTCCACGTATGTTGTCTCGGATTATCACAAATACACCTCCGCAATTCAAAAAGTCAGCAGAAGGAAGTGGAGGAGGTTTGGGGGGATTGCTCAATAACAAACATGGTACAATATATTATTTTTGTGCACTTTCAATACATTTGACTTGGTATTTTAATGAATATTTAAAATAGCATTATATTAATGATTTATTTTACTCAGTGCTTTTCACTAACTTAAAAACATCTCCTGGAGTGTAACCCTAACCCTACTAGCATCCAAGAAAACTGAACTGAAGTACATAACACACTGAGTTATAATGAGTCATACATACCACTGGCAACCTTAGTCCACGAAAGGAAGGGCATCGGATCACCCTCAGCCCCACAGGGGAGCTGAGCATCTGTTTCAGCTTCCACGGTGAAAGTCTGGAAATCGCTCTTCGTTATCTTTGGCTTCCCTCTTAGAGTAGATCCTTGTCCAGGTAGCTGGTGATTCCTGGACACATCAGGGCGGCTTGTTAGAAGTTCCTCTGTGAATGGAAGAGTTTGGATCGCAACAGTTGGGGTGGGGGTGGCACTCGGGCTGATTTTACTGCTCATTGTTATGGCCTGGGAAGTTGGATTTTCACTAACAAATGGAGCCGGTCTGTGGTAAGGTGGCTGGGTTGCAGGATGGAATTCAGATATTCTCCTGGGCTCTGAAGTGGTGACTTGTTGGTCTTGACTTTGGTCGTCTGGAATGTGGTTTATCCTGGGAGCCTCCTGAATGGTGGCCCTCAAAGCAGGATCCATTTCTCCTGTGGTAGACATGTTTGGTAGTGTGACATGCATGAACCCAGCATCAGGCCTTGAGGAAGTAGTAGAGGGAGGTTTTGGTATGACAGTACTTGGTAAAGGAAAATGATCTATGTTTTCTTTAAGATCTTGATCTACCACTGGCTCACTGATTGTGGTTTTACTTTCACTATGATTGGATATTTCAGTTACTGTAGATATATTTATAGTAACCTTTTCTTTTGCACCCTGAAAAAGCCTAAACAGTCTTGTCATCAAGCCAGTTTGAGTGTATCCAGAGGTTGTCTCAATTTCGTGTTCGATCAACAAAGCAGTTGAGGCGGATGGGGATGGCGGCAGTGAAACATGCGTGTGAATCTCTTCCAAAAGCGCATTTTCACCTTTTTCCGTGGGTGTGTTTTGATAGTCTGATTTATCCTGCTCGACATATGTTTGCGTCACTGTGTGAAAAAGCCCAGAGCTTGGCATAAGTCCGAGGTCTGCCGTAACACTGACCCTTTGTGTCTCCTCTGAGGGTTTAACAGGTGGAACAGGGCTAAGTGTAAACCTCTCCTGAGTGAGGGATGTGAGCATATCCAGGCTCTCTGAAGGAGACACACTCTCTGAGATTCTCAAGGCTGTTTGAGAACTTGTCTTTCCGTGACCCACTCCTGGAGAGACTGTTGGAAATGATGGTGCCGTTGAAGTGCTTTCGAGTGGTGGTTTGGCCATGGGTAAATTGCTGTCTTTTGTCACGGATTGAGAAGCTGGCGTTGAAGAGAGTTTAGTGGCTACCTCAGCGTCATGCCCTGAGACTTTGCCTCTTTCATGACTCAGTCTGCCTGATGACGCTGCTTGGCTAGTGCTGAATGGAACAGTGGTATTGAAACTGGCTGTTGTAACTTCTAATGGTTCTATTTTTAGCTGTGTGGACGCAGTGGTCATTACTGTTGCTAGGGGAGCTGTTGCAGGTGTGCTGGCAATAAACTTGGTGGGTTTGTTCAGCTTTTGTTTCCTTTTGTTTGGATTTCTCCGACGACCCCCATTCCTTCTCCTGGAGGATGGTTGTCGGAGACGCGGAGGAGATTGTCCTTCAGACCCCAGCCTTCCTGTTGTGAGGAGAAGAGTTGCTGAAGATACTGTTGTGAGCGTTGCTTCAGATGCAAATATTGTATCCTTTGGCTGAGTAAGCAACTGTGATGTTGCTGCAGTTGCACTGAAATATTTTCCATATTCCTCTTGGCTTGTTTCTGACTCATTTGGGTTGACCGAAGGGATAATTTGTCTTCCCCTTGAAGAGAGTTCTCTGTCATTATCAGAGCTGGAAACAACATTTGGTCTATCCATATTCCCTCTCCTCTCTGATGCCTTGGACCCATCAGCTGTTTTGACTCTGTTAACATCTGTATTTGTGCTAAGGTTCTCTGTGCGGCTGCTACTCGCAGTGTTTGTGTTAGCCTGCCAGAAAGTGACAGCGTGTGGGGGAACAGATGTGGTCTGCTGTGGAAGGAAAAATACTCCGTTTGAAGTTGTGAAGCTCATATCTTGGATTGTGTGCTGTACATTGTGTGAGAGCATTGTGTGTGGCTTTGCTGTTAATTGTATGCTGTGACTATTTGCTGTCTTATGTGCATTATGCGTGGTGTAGGGATTAGAAGTCACATGCGTGCTTTGACCTTGTGTATTCTGTTTATCCGTTTTTATTTGTGTATGTTGTGTTGGAATGTGTGTTGTGGTGAAGTAATCCTGGCCCTCCTGTTCCTGCACAAATATGGCGTCTGATGAGCCCTCAGTAACATCTTGTGTTTGTGTTGTCTGCTCGGTCGGTTTCCTCTCTGTTGTAAGCTGAACTGGAAGTGGTGTCACAGTATTATGACCTTTTCTATCCCTAATCTTAGACAAAATATCCGCCCATTTCTCTGGGTCTATTTTACTCTTTGAAATATTAACCTTCCGCCTGCTATCAACTATATTCTTCCTGTCTTCAACACGTGATCCTGTTGGTTTTCGAAGCACAGACGGCCTCCTCCACACATTCCTCGACGGGGGGACGCCCCTCCTGCCAGGGGACACACCTTCAGGAATTCTCTTTCTCAAAGGGGTCATTGGAGCCCCCACCTGAGTGACCTCAATGTCCCCTGATGCCTCCTCTGCTTCCTCTGTGGGGACTTTAATCTGAGTGTTCAGCCCCGACGCTGACTGAGGTCTTGCTGGAAACTTCCTCAAAGGCCTTATCAGCCCTTTGCGCCTGACCAGAGTGAGTTTTGTAGCCAGTGTGTCCACGCCATGTTGATTAATAGCTACACATTTATAATAACCACTGTCCAATAACTGAGTCTGTGGGATATGTAGAGTGCCGTTAGAATACACCACAGCCCTAGAGGAGTTGGCTTGGAAACTAACTATGTTGTTGTTTGGTAGAATCCATTTAACTTCAGCATCAGGGGATCCAGATGCCGTGCAAGGCAGGGAAATTGGGTTGCCTGCAAATCCCTCGATGGGTGAAATTGAGGCGTCCTCCCCCGGTGGAGGGCTTGAGGATTCCAGCACTGTCAGATGGAATGGCATGACAGCAAGGTCTCCATGAACCTTAGCAATGCAGTAATAAATTCCAGCATCTGTGTGGCTGACAGGTTTAATCACCAGCCTCCCGTCAGTGGACACAGTCAACCTGTTGTCTGGGCTGCTGTACGGGGCCTCCACCTTAGAGCCGTCTGGCAGCATCCAGTGGAGGACCTGCTGGCCAGAACTGTGCACGTTACATTGCATTTCACTTGGACTTCCCAGAATAGCACTCAACACTTCTCGGGTTGTGTTTGTTGACTCAATCATGACCCATGTTCTCCTCTGTCTCCTCACCATCTCGGCCGGCACTGTCTCTGAAAAGTCCGTGCTCAGGATCAGTTTTACCATCTTGGCTGACGATTGCAGTCTGTTCAGCTGAAGGTTTGCAGATGTCTGCATCAGCCATGCCGGCTGGGCCATCATGTTAACTTTAACACCTGTGAAGTACTGGGCATCCTGCTCAGAGTCCTGCATGTACACATAGGTTGGATGAGGGTCTTTTTTGAGCAGAACCCCCCTTTGTAAGTGGGCTGGCACATTGCTGTAGTACGCAATGAGCCTCCACAGTTGCTCATACTTTTCTCTATCCACCGGACATTCAAGATCAACGGACAAAGAGATGTTGGATGCCAGCTGGACCTGGTTGACCTGCTCCCAGCTGATCTTGGAAAGTTCTCCTGGCTCACTAATCCCGCACTCCAGGTCCACTCCATTCCCATGTTCGTCTGAAAGGCCCAGGGAGATGTTTCCAAATGGTTCCCTGAAATCCTCCGTGGTCATGACCTCACTTTCCACGTCATCGGGTGTAGAAGTCCTATGAGGAGAGCTGATGACGGGGCTGCTGCAGACCAGGTTCTCCATAGCCTGAATTTCTTTCTTCTCGAGGTGCCTGGGAGAAGAGCACATGGGACACAGTTGGCCACCAGGAAGGGCCTTGTCCTTTTTACACTTCAAGACACCTGGGGACAAAAAAACAAGCTGTCAAATAAGACCTCAAAGTAGACTTGAATTATTTTTGAATATTCTAAAATCTTCTTAATCACTTCAAAATACTTTAAACGCAAGAATAAAGGAATTTCAAAACCAATTGTAGTGCAGGAATTCTGCGTCTAACCTGGTGAGGTTTTATCCCAGCCATGGAGCCATCCCATGTTGCAGTCGCATCTCCATGGGTTCCCATGGAGATGCAGGTTCTCCAGCTGAGGCATGGTTGCTACCAGCCTGGAGGGCAGCGAGGTCAGCCCATTGTCAGACAGATATAGGTGCCTCAGAGTGGAGACGTGGAAATGGCCCATCAAAGTGAAGGTGGAGAAAGTTGCTGGGTGAAGCTGCTGAATCCTGTTGCCTTCCAGCTGCAGCATACGCAGAGAGGTGAGGCCCTGGAAGGCGTCCGGGTGGATGAACTCCAGGTGGTTGTGGTCCAGGTGTAATCTGGCTAAAGCCCACAGACCATGAAGGGTGTGTCTATTGATATCCTTCAGCTTGTTGTAGCTCATCTTCAACATCTAAACCAACAAGGAGAAGCATAGTCAGGATTAGTAATGATGGAATCATGAGCCCTTTTTAACCCTGCCAGGGCCTGGAAATAATAATTTATATAGAAAGATATTTTTGATTATTTGCATAGCCATACTAGAAACCCAATAGAACCATAGTCACAAGGATGGAAACACCCTTTTTCAAATGTGGTGATGGTAGCACTTAAGTATCACATTTTCCTGTACGTAGTTATTCTGAGGTTTTTATCCAGGTTGACACCTAAAAAGGCCATTTGGTGACTCAAAAAGTGGCTTTAGCTATGATATTATTGGCCACCAGAGCTGTAAAATACAATCATTTGGAAAAAATCAACAGAGCCCAGACTCATTGGGATTCAGTGTCTTACTAAAGTATTACTACTACCAACGTTCCTGTGCTCATCCAGTGTACCTGTAGAGAAGAGAGATCCCTGAACACTCCATTGGGCAGACTGTGGATGTCGTTCCCATGGACCATCAGGAGCTCCAGCTTCCTCAGACCAGCCAGCGATTTGTCTGTAATCTTATTAATGCTGTTGAACCTGAACAGAACCAGAGTGGGCGGTGTTATAAACATTCATGAGACACAATGATCCTGAATTGGCATGCCATAAAACGAAATCCCCTTGCATTAAGAGTGTAATCCAGTCACTGATGGTATAGCAGAATAACAGACAGGCTGAAAATGCAAACTTCACTGACCCCAGGTTCACTCGTTCCACGTGTTTGGACACAGCGGCTGGGATGCTGAGGAGGGAGCGGAAGGTGCAGTGGAGCTCAGCGGGCTGGGGGCAGGAGCAGGGCCGGGGGCAGGGCACTGAGGCCGCAGGGGGCCACATCACCATCAGCAGCACAGTGTAGACAAGGCACAGGGCGGCGGGGTCCATCTTCATTTAGAGAGGAGTAGTCACTGCAGCTGCCCGTGTGATAACTATAACAGTGGTAAACATGACACATGCAGTTAGTACTATTATTTATACTATTATTATTTTTATATTAATAATGAGAATAACCATGGAAAGAGGGGGCAATTAAGAATATATAAGACAATAACTGTAATACATGACTTATTTAAGATGCAGTGTACCAGATTACATCTACAAACCAATGTTGCTCTCAAAAATGTCTTTTTAGGAAATAAAGGCAATAAAGAATGTATATAGAATAATGGAATAACGTTTTTTTAATATTTAAATGTAATTGGAGATCGTGTTTGAATAACACTTTTTTCCAGGAAAGAAAGGCAATAAATATAAAGCAAAAAAGTCTTGTTAGGATAAAACTTTAATTTGAATGTCTTAACATTATAGATGTCAGAAGAAATCCCTCAGAGGGCTTGAACGCTTATCCGAGTTTGGCTCTTGTTTTGTGGGTAACTCTGTCCCCGCATGCATGGATGAACTGCGGTAAACGCACTGCACTGCAGCGTGTGTTGAGCCTAAGTGCTCCGTAAATATTAAAAAACTTCACTGCAAAAAGATATAAATGCTCTTACCTTAAAATCGTGATATCCTCTCTTGAGGGAACTCCTGGTATTCCATTTGGCTACAGTCCTGAAAGCGCACTACAAAAAGTTGGTGTTGCAAAATGTGTAATGCCGTGCAGAGCAGAAACCGAAAACAGATTTGGATATAAAGCTTAAGGAAAAGTTTGTCTCACTCCTCAATGCCCCTCGTGCTCTGCGGACCTCAGTGAGGACAGAGTGAAGGCTGCTCCGGCGCGCGTGCTGAGGAGGCGCAACAGGAGGAGCCAGGAGTTCCTTGAGAGGATGGAGAGAGTCTAGTGGATGGTCTCCATGAAGAATATGATACTGTAATACATACAAACAAGCTGTTGTCCGGTTGCAGTCCGGGAAGAAGAGAGTGAAGTCAGGAGGGCACACAACATATATAGTAAACCATTAACATGTCCGTGTGGGAACAGTAGCCCCAACGGGGGAGGGGGGGAGGGGAGGGGGGGGAGGGAGTGTGTGGGAGAGAAAAAGGGAACACAGGGATGTTAGCCTCTGCAGACCATTTACATGCACACAAACCACACTGCATTTATTCCCCCAAATAAATGGTCTTTATTTAAAGATAAACAGACAAATATATCAGTGTTTGTAGCACTGTGCCACAATTCTCTCATAAACTGTGTGGTCAACATTAAACTGCTGCCTGTGGAGAGGGGGGAGGCTGGGGGGTAAAAGGTATCAAAGCCCTTTCATTAACACTGACTCACGCACAGCATGCAGTCTAGACACACACCCATTGGAAAAAGCGTGCACAGACAAACACACAGGACAACAATGGGCCTCACATCAAGAAGCTGATAGCCGGCAGGTGGGCTGGGAGGGCAGGCACACACACACACACACACACACACACACACACACACACACACACACACACACACACACACACACACACACACACACACACACACACACACAGCCAGGGTCGTGCCCATAGCTCATGCTTTCCGTTTAACCCAAAGGCATGCAGTGACTTCATGATTTATTTTCAATATGTATGCTTTCAGGATTAAATTTGACTTTTATAACCCTTTACAACTAGCAGCTAAAAGAAAATTGTACTCCAAGGAAAAATAGTAGATTGCAGTTTCAATAAACTAACATGATCAGACATAAATAACCAAAACAGCATTAAAAGATACAATAAATATAAATTAAAATGAATTAATTTAATCAAAGAGCTAGTGGTTTATGTAAATCATATTCTTATTTTATATTATTTTAATATCATTTACAGAATTTCCATTAATAGCCTATCAATGGAGCAGGATATAAAAGGCACATCTGTCAGAAAAGCTTTTATGAGTCATTGTGTTACAGCAATTAGAGAGAGAGCAGCAAATGGATGTGTAATTATAGAAGAAAGTCATGATGATTATCATGCAAGTGCCCCCCCCCCTTGACAAGCTGTCAATCACACAGAGATGCATGGGTATACAGCTGTGCAGTCATCAAAAATAAAGACATTTGTTCTGCCATAATCATAAATGTTATTGTGCAGTGAACGGATCTATTAAACTGGAAGTCATACATGATGTCAGTGGAGGTTTTTCCTGATAAAAAACTATTTGCCTTGGTCCATGTTTCATCTTTACAACAAGGGATTCCTTCCATGATGCTCGGCCTGTGATGAGACGTTCATGGACCGCAGGCATTTGCTTCGATGGCTAAAAGACCATACAGCTTCAGACCCCATCTATAAAAACTGAGAGAAAAACGCTGCAGTTGGAACATTCTATCAACAGAGGAAGTGGTGGCTGTAATGTGGTCTCTCTTATCATGCTTTATTATTCTCCAGTAATTACTCTGTATTTATGTTGAATTCAACATGAATGATCCCCCATTAGAATAAACAAGTCTTTTCACCAAGTTGAAAAATAACACTCCCTTATTCTGTTACAGCACCCGACAGTGGCCTAAATTCCAAATCATCTTCCACGCTTGCTGCTTATGTTTTAAAACTAACCTGTGAGTTATGACATCAGGAATTTGGTGTTACTGCTCTGTAGGACCTGTACAAATCTTCAATTGGTGTTAGTCCAATCATAATACATTCCAGATTATCTCCAAACAGTCATATATATGCATTGGTGGACAATATACAGTGATTTTCTATTTACAAACCCCGTTTCTTATAATACTTACTCCATTAATTCAGCAATCATATGAAGTTTTAAGTGAATAGTAAAGTATTTTTATTTGATAAACTAAGAGAATAGACTCAAATACAATACATTACTGAATTAGGAGTCAGATTACGTTATCACAATAACCCCTCCGGTGTTGACTTTCCACAACCTTTCCGATGTCACTAGTACTGTAACCATGACAATGAAAGATGGTCATTTTAACGTTGTTTCCTTGAACCTAACCGAGAGTTTTCTGTGCCTTAACTAACTAGCAGTGATTTGTACCAGTTGGGAAGGCAAAGACAAACTAAAGGTGGAAATAACTAATCAATTCCCTAATTGAAGTGGTACAACGTCTCAGTTATTACAGAATCAGAATCAGAATCAACACTGTACAAGTTAGCAGCAACGTAGCTTATTGATAATGGTATCACGTTATGATTGTTTATGTCCACGTTACTGTAAATTGTCTTGATGCTAAGCTAGGCTAGCAGCAGCTCTGTACCATGCACATTGACTAAGGAATAATATTGATCTTCTTGTCTCATATGAAAGCAGATGAGTACATATCGAGGCAAATCGAATTGTTGCCAACAATAACATGCGTTGGACATGAGGTTGTACAGATTGCAGTCGATGGTACACTTCCTATTAGTCCAGTGCCAGAGGATGAGGGGAGCCTCTGTGTGCTGTCAGCTACCGTGACAAACCTGAAAATAAACTGAGTTCGAGAAAGTTTGAGTGTATAAATATGTCTGACTGTGCCTGTCGGAGAGAAAAAGGCAATAAAAGAGGGAGACGTGAAAAGAGTATTCCTGCCTTTAAACACCCTATAAAACTCTCCCAGTCAGACATATGGCTCTCGTATGTGCTCATGGTGACTTTCTGCCATCGAATGACAATTTGCTTGGAGAAAAGCCTACGGAGTCTGTGCCAGAGAGCGCTTGGATGCAGTTTGGACATTACGTAAACACCAAGGGAAGCCTAATGCCTGGAAAGTCAGAAAGTGAAATCCTCAACATCTGCAGCAGACGCATCCCGGGCCGCCGTGTTGGAGGCTGTCGAGGCGGCAGGAGGGAAAGGGATTAGCGCTTCATCCTTATTCCCTCCAGACCCAGAGAGGCAGCACACGGTGAAGCCGAATCCCTCAAGATTTATTCACACGCCCACGTTATTCCAGCCTCGAGCACAGAGGCAGAAATTGGCAAATGGGTACAGATATGAGAGTCATTACAGGCAGAGGGGAAAGTACCTCATTGCCGGGTGGAAAACACTCCATGACCTCGTCACCTCTGGACATATTTTGGAACGTTTACATGTGTCAGCTTTTACAACACGACCTTGACTGATTTTCTCCCCCCGTGTCCTCCACGCTGGGTCGGGTATGACCTCATGTAAGAGCCTGACCCATGGCAGATGACAGCAGGGTGAGGCTGAAGTATGTCACTCAAGTGTAGAGGCAGACCAGAATGGTGAAAGAGAGGAGCTCCGTTCAAGCAGCCAGACCAGAATCACTCAGATGGGACATTTTATCTACAATCAGAGGCTTTGAACTGCTTTGATTGACATCCAAAATCAGTGCTTTAACCCCCATACGGCTCCTGATGTGAATTTAGTTGCCAACTGATGCACCCAGAGATATTTTTTGGTGGACTTCACCCTCACTTTGTGTCACTGATGAACTGTAATCCCATTCCTGCACCGCCTCTCGCACTCAATATGCTCTTGACCTAAATCACTGAAGTTTCCATGCTCTGTGATGTAGTGAGCCAGACCTCCAGAAAAACACACACACTGTGTAAACACACACACACACGTGTACACACACACACACACACACACACACACACACACACACACACACACACACACACACACACACACACACACACACACACACACACACAGAGAGAGCAGGAATAACGTCTGTTCCTCTGTTTCTCAGACACACCTAGCAGGCACAAAAACAAACAGCACACCCTCACAACCTCACAGGACCAATACTTCCAAATATCCACGGCATAATAGATGTTTATATTGCTAAAAAAATCAAAGCATTCTACAGAGTGGTATATTTTAATGTAGAAATGGCACCTTGATTTGTGTAATTGTCTGTGATTAAAGCGTCTTTATTATTGTTTTGATGGCTTTTTGTTCACGTGAACATTTTTGTCCATGTGAGAAAAGACAAGAATTCTGAGCAGGATGAACATCTGCTGGAGGGATATTTCACAACCTGGCAGCCCATAAAGTGATCTAATAGCGGCTTTTAATTGATCTATGTGATTTATAACAAGTCATGAGTTACAATGGTTGCATTTATATAGCGTTTTTCGTCTCGTTGCGACCATCCAAGGCACTTTTACAACACAAATCAGCATTCACACAGATTCATATATTGGTGGCAAAGGTTAGGTGTCATCTGCTCACCATGAGCCAAAAATCATTCTAACACACCGTTGGCTAAGCCATTGGAACCAATTTGGGGTCTATATCTTGCCCAAGGACACCTCAACAGACATGATCTGATTGGACCATTTCTCTATCTCATGAGCCGAAGCCGCCCACACAACTTCAGTATATAAACACATTAAGAAGGGAGTGACTGATTTCTGCTCGTCTCACAGTTGTATGAAAAGGCAATGATTCTTTAATATGGCTACAAACGCTCTGCAAATGTCCGTCAGTAGCCCTGAGGAAGCTGCTGGCTTAACTGTGTGTGCTCAGTCGCAGGTTTCTAGGTCAGTTCCCGAATTCTAGGCAGGCCCCTTCTTTCACCGTTCTGTATTCTGCTAGCTTGCAGCATCACTTCAGAGAATAAACAGCCTCCCCCTGCCTGCTGTGCTGCAGCTGTGCTCAGACCTGCAGATGCCTCGCGTCGGCTAGCTGCTGGGCAGAAAAAAGCACCAGGGTCTGCCCGCCGCCATAAAGCTGCAGTCGCCTGAGACGCAGGGTCACACTGCGCCAGGTGTCGCTCTCATTAAACATGCACAGCAATAATTACAGGAATGTGGAGGGGTTCATATTAAAAAGACA